GAGAAACAGAGTCAGGCTTGGTTTGAGTTTCTTTGCCTTTTGTCTAAGTACCTAAGACAATGGCCCATGTAGTCCAATATCAGGTTTTCACAGTGCCCAACCAGATGCCTGTGAAAAACCCACAAGTTAGACCCCAAAGTCCAAGAGCGCCCTCCCCTCCTGTGGTTTCCAGCACCGAAGCATACTGTCTGATCATGGAGGCAGAGGATAGCCGCCATGGCTAGTAGCCAGGGATACCATCTATTTGTCTAATCCTCTTTTAGCATCATCCAAGTTGGCAGCCATCACAGCCTGTATCTGAACAGAGGGATTCAGTTGTGCATGCAGTTTTCTGGATTGTGGCCCCACCATATTTAAGTTAGTTCCACTGGTTCTACATTATGTATTTAGTCCAGAGACAAAAGGTCACCCGCCGTTCATTTTTGCTCATAGTTGCACTCCAGTGTAATTGCCAATAGGCTATACATGTTTTTAACACTGGGCGGTTTGAAAAAGGTAATTTCCTTTTTCATTAATGGGAGGTTTTGGAGTGCAAAGGTAAACAAAATAGTTGGCTGTGCATGCTGGTACGTTAGGATCTTGTGGAGCGGGGCCAATGTGTTTAGTGTCTGTAAGTCTTTAGTCAAAGCAATCTTTTTACAGGGAGAATTTTTAAAATCTCTTGCACCTTAATTTTAAACACATTCATCTGTAAGAGGTACATACCTCACCATGTTTTTTATATTCTTTTTTTGTTTTCTATTAGTAAGGAAATACTGATTTCCTTTTGCTTTGTCAGATTCTGCAAGCTTTTATATAGGTTGCCCAAAATGCTGATTGGCTCACAGTTGGCCGTGCACAACTTTGATTGGCCGTTGGCTGTGATCTCGCATCCTTCCCCTGTCCCAGATTAGTTTGCATTTTATGGATGGATTGGGATTTTTTTTACACCCACAAAGGTACCACATGAACTTTCATGTGTTTATCCATTTGTTTGTCACCCTGTTGCTGTTTCTTAAAGCAAAATCCATTTGTAAAAGTGCTCTGGGCAGGTTCCACAGCTGAAAGCCAGTCTCCCGCAAGCTGCCTCTGCTGCAAAACCCACCGTCATCCTGGAGACGGTGTAAGTTTTTGGCTGCACTTGTTAAGTGTAGCAGCATCTGTTTCTTAAGTGTTTCAGTGTACACTATTTTAAGAACTACCATAGCTCTGATACTTCTTCTTAATAAACCAAATGAGTTGCCTGAAACTTCTGCAATGATTTGCAACTCTGCCAGTTTTCTGCTATTTCATTTCTGTGAAAATAAAATATCTTATTTTCTTTTTCTTTTTCTAAAAAATAATTAAAGGGTGGGGGGATGTAAAATAATTGCCAGCATAGAATTTGCACCTTTTCTTTCTAATGTAAGTGACCATGAATGACATTCCGCTGTATGAGTCAATAAATGTGTTAATAGTCAAATACATTTGACTACTGTATTTTTATTTAAGTTTCGAAATGTCACTCTACAAAAAAAGCTTAATTCTTTAAAGCTTGTCTTCCCCAGCAGTGCAGCATTGGATTCAGAGGCACCCTAAGCGCCATCCTTGGAGGGATGCGGGTGGCGCTGTGGTCTAAACCAGTGTTTCCCAACCTTGGGCCTCCAGCTGTGTTTGGACTACAACTCCCATCATCCCTAGCTAGCAAGACCAGTGGTCAGGGATGATAGGAATTGTAGTTCAAAAACAGCTGGAGGCCCAAGGTTGGGAAACACTGGTCTAAACCACTGAGCCTCTTGGGCTTGGTGATCGGAAGGTTGGCAGTTCGAATCCCCACAATGGAGTGAGCTCCCATTGCTCTGTCCCAGCTCCTGCCAATTTAGCAGTTCGAAAGCACACCAGCGCGAGTAGATAAATAGGCACCGCTGTGGCGGGAAGGTGAACAGTGTTTCCGTGTGCTCTGGCTTCCATCACAGTGTCCCATTGTGCCAGAAGCGGTTTAGTCATGATGGGCAAATGACCTGGAAAGCTTGTCTGTGGACAAACGCCAGCCTCAGCCTGAAGCGAGATGAGCGCCACAACCCCATAGTCGCCTTTGACTGGACTTAATCTGTCCAGGGGTCCTTTACCTTTACCTTAAGCGCCATCCTCATGTCTCTCTCTTTGCCCCTCCAGCCAGCCTGCGTGGTTAACTGCCCTTCCATCCCACATGGAAATTCTGTCCACTTCCTCCTTTTCTTTCCCAGCATCATTTTCAGGAAACAAGCACTCCCCTTCCACTTCCAGCATCCCCCATTCCATCTGTGGCGTTTGCCCGTTCTTTTGAAAATGTCAGTAAAGGGGGAGAGAAAGAGTTAATAGGTAGACCGACAGAAAAGCCAGAGGCGGAGCCTACCTGTTTATAAAAGGGCTTAGCCAAAGGTTTGGTTGGTTAGTTGGTTGGTTAAGGCAGTTCGGAAAGCAGTTGGCAGACAGATGGAAATAGAAAGACAGTTAGTGGAGTTGGTTCTTGTGTGAGGGGAGGTAGAAGAGTTAGAGCCAGGATAAAATAAGACTAAGAGGGTAAAGGGTAACAGGGTTTCGAATGCATTTAAAGTTTATTTGTGTTTGCAATAAACTACAATCTTCATTGTTAATTTAAGAACCTGACTGAGATTAAGCAATTTACCGGGGAGGACCTGGTTGGTAGTAGCGGATTAGTGGTGTACAGGTCAATAGTCTGTGAGATGACCGGGGGCTCCGTACAAACGCCACATCATCACCCTGGCAACCTGTTTCTTGAGCCAATTGCAAAAGGCCCCCATTGCTTACATCAGGCCAAGGGTAATCCCGCTCCAGTAGCCAATGGGCAGAGGGTCTGATGTTTTGCAAATGGCTTACCATTATCAACCCAGGCCATTATCAGCCTCTTGTTTCTTCCGTGACCCTCCCCCCCAGCGAGCCATCAGCAGGATGACCTCAGGAGGAAACTAGACGATATTATTTCCAGCCCTTGCTAAATTCATGAATTTATGAGTTTGCTCAAATTCTAACCCTTTACTGAATGTAGAGATTATGGGGTGTCTGCCCCCTATGGGTATAGCCAGTAGGTGCAGGGGGCAGCTGCCCCCCTAAATCAAGTAAACAAAAAAATTACATAACTAACTGACCAATCACATCACAGGTAACTCAGTTCTGCCCCCCAACATAAAGTCTGCCCCCTAACATAAATCCTGGCTATGCCCATGTGCCCCCCCAAAAAAACTCATAACAATATACTTATAAACAAAACCTAACTGAGCATCTGACATTTTTGTCTTACATTTGTATCCAGCTTTTCCTTCAAGGAGCTACACAGGAATCATCCCATTTCTGAGGGCCTTCTGGCGGTTCCCTCACTGTGAGATGTGAGGTTACAGGGAACCAGGCAGAGGGCCTTCTCGGTGGTGGCACCCACCCTGTGGAATGCCCTCCCTTCAGATGTCAAGGAAATAAACAACTATCTGACTTTTAGAAGACATCTAAAGGCATCCCTGTTTAGGGAATACATGTTTGATGTATTTATCGTGTTGTTAATATTCTGTTGGGAGCAGCCCAGAGTGACTGAGGAAACCCAGCCAGATGGGCAGGGTATAAACAAACAAACAACAACAATTATTATTATTTCATGCTCACATCCACCATGAAAAATAGGTGGATCAAAATAGCTCCTTGGCAGAGCAGGTACTGGAATCCAAGTCTCTGGAGTGATACCCCCTTGTCTAGGGATGGACTGGTTGCTTTAGTGTGTATTTTGGAATTTTCCTTATGAGCCAACACTCATTTTCTAGGAGTGCTCAAGGCACACACATTCCGCCTTCCTGTAAAAGGCAAAGGGAGATGATGTTGGCCCATAAATGTGAGCCTGAAAATGGGAGGAACAATTGGCCAAGGAGCAGAAACTCATGCTATTGGAAGACACAAGATCTACCCACCTTGGAAGAGTGGCAGATGAAGGTGATAGACTATATGGGTCTGGCTGAAATGACTGGCAGAATCCGAGACCAGGGGAAAGAGACGGTGGAAGAAGATTGGAAGAAATTTAAAATTTATCTTAAGAAATATTGTAAAATTAATGAGTGCTAAAATGTCGAGGTTATAGAGAATAGGGGATTACAGCTGTAAAAGATTAAGTAAAAGAAAAGAATAAGGGAAAATTAGATAAGATTAAGGGGAAGGATTTGCTGAAATAAATTTGGGAATTGGAATGCAGAAAGGGGAGGTATGGGGAAGTCGGTGAAGTAAGGTTTAAGGGGAAAAAAAGGATGTGAAAGTATACATGTTTGTTTTTATGTTTATATGTCTGTATTGTGTATTGTTTGTGTTTAATTGTGAAAAAAACAATAAAAATTTTATGGGGGAAAAAATGAAAATGGGAATCAATGAAGAGGAGCAGAGTTGGGACAGCACCAGCATAACAGCATCATGCCATGCACCGAGTATCCCTATATGTTTCTGAGGAATGAGGAGTTGTCCAAGGACTGTTTTTTTGGTAACAACCTTGTGTCTGCTATAAGCAACTAGTTCTGCCCTTGAGAGACAGAGGGTTTTTTTAAAAAAGAATCAAATACCACTTTTGCTTAATTTTTTATTACTGAACTAAGTTGTGGGGTAGAAAGTGCCAGAGTTTCCCACCAACACAGCCATATACAAACTGCCAGAAGTAATGGCTTTCTGAAACGTGCAATCATCAATAGGTCTAAAAGCTGTTAGTGGCATATTATGCAATTACTTTGCAATATTAACCACAGAGAGAACTACAAGCACAATGTTCAGTCACGTGTTTGTATTATACAAACAATGTCTGATGATGGTGAAATTCTTGCAGTTAAGCCTCGCCCTCCAAGGTGTCTGTATAGAACATCACTCTGCTAGGATGTAATGTAGCACCCATCAGAGGATGAAATTTCCTCCTCGAAGCCAAAGGCAAGATTTCCACTGCTATCAGTGTGGAACAGTTGCACGTTGCAATATTGACTAGTAACACAATGCTAATCAGAAAAAGACAAGTCTAACTCATTTATTAGTTATGGCATATATTGCAAATAAAAAAATCACATTGACCATTCTACTAGACATAGACATATTTGTGTTTTAGGTCCTCTAGATCGATATCTCCAAAGACAAAATTAATGCTCTGCACAGCATGTTCTGCATTAGACGATCCGTGAACAGCGTTGCGCAAAATATCTTTTGCAAACTTAGCCCGTAATGAGGTGGGATGAGTTTCTTTTGCTTGTTCTGGGTCTGTCGGTCCCATTAATTGCCGCCATTCCTCCACAGCATTTTCTTTGGTCAGAATCATTACCATTGAGGGGCCACTGGAAAACCAAGGCATTCAAAGATTTATGTTACGCTAACAGTCTGGTTCTGTAGCTGCTGGTGTTGACATAACTAGCAGGGCATTCTGCACAAGATGAGCAAGGCAAGTTCATATCAGAATGCTGCCTATGGTAATATATCAGAGGTATATGTTTATCGTAAAGCAGCACATGGTATCCAAATTACACATGGGATATATGTGGGGCAGTTTTCACTCATTTTTGCAGTTATGTACCAGCGATCTACCCATTTCCCATTTGTCTAAAAGCTAACTAGATAACTACACTACTACTGATGCTGAAGGTAGTAGATTAACAACCTTCTCTGCTCTAACAAAAATAAACAGGCCATTTTGCAACATGGTTGCACCACAGAAGATCAGGATGTTGCACATTCTGAGCACTCTTTTTCTACATGCAGCAGCTGAAAGGCTCTGGATGAAAAACCTTTTTAAAACAGGGTGGTTTCAATTTCACCAAATTACTATTTGCATGTGTGAAAAATTGTTTTGCGAACTGGATGAAGTTTCATCAGTCACATTATGTACTTCTGCCACTTTAGTTTTAATCCTGCAAGGAACTTTCTTTTTAATCCTACAAGGAACTGATAGTTCAGAGTACTTAATGAATTTTTAACAGATTTTTTTTATCCTAAGACAAGGGTGGGGAACCTTTGCCCCCCCCAGATGCTCCTGAACTATAACTCCCAAAGGAGTTTTGTTGAGTCTTTTTGCCAGTTCAGGCTCAGAGGAAATCAGACTTTGTACAGCATCCTGTAAATATCTTTGAATAACTTTCAAACTGGTTTAAATAATAATTCAGCACTATTTCTGCATATAAAATTAGCTTTACAAAATCTGGATGGGTGGATTTTAACTTGGATAAGACTACAAAGGAAAAATTGACAAGGTGCCATTTGATACCAGGAAGGGAGTTCCCAGTTAAACTTGGGGATCTGGATAATAGAAAATCCAGAAGATATGCATGTATTTCATCATGAAATACGGGAAGTATTCCTTGCAGGAAGTTAAGGATTTAAAACATACACTAAAGCAACAATGCAGCGTTGACTGTTAAATACAGTACAGTATATGACATTGACTTCTATGAATTTGTAATATTTGTTCAGCCATGTTTAAGGATATATTTTGTAAATGTTGACTGGAACATAAAATTAGTGTTATGATGACTGGATGGTTTTTTGGATACTAAATGCAGTGGTTCCCAAACCTTTTTATATAGGAATTCAAAACAAGTCATTTTCCTTTGGCCAGGAAGACTTAGCAGCAAGCTCCCTCCTTCCTATTCCTTGTTTTGTTTGCCATATCCATTGCCACCACCTTAGCAAACCCAGCCATGAAGTTCCAGAAGACCATTTTGGAACTGCTGAGGTCCCACCCTCCACCTCTGAGCGAAGGAAGATGTCGTAATGTGGGGCTGCTCTTTGATCTTTAGTCCAAAGTGGTCCAGGAAGAGTCTCCTCCCTAGGTGCCAAAAATACCTAAAACATCCATGACAATACCAGAAGCTGTCTGCCTGCTTGTTGACTTCCAAGTTAGGCCTGCAATACTTCCTGAGGATTTAATTAAAACAAAAAACAGGCACTTACTCAGACATATAATTTACAAGCTGATCATAAAAGGGTTTTCCTTCTTGGTTTTTATAAAACTGTGCTGCCATCTCGGAGGATATGTGTGTTTCTTTCATTTCAGATATGATGAATCCAGCTTCTTTTACTTCTTGTAGAATTTCATCTAAAAGAGAAAAAAGTGTGTTTAGAACTGAGAACTTCAAAAGTGCTTAAACTTTTAAAGACTAGTAAATTATATTCTTACCTTTGTTTATTATTTTAATGATACTAGTTTGGAAACCAACTTTTTTCTCCCCCTGTTTATTTGTTAAATTTTATTTTTTAAATGTGTATACTGCCTTTAATCTGTAGATCTCAGGGCAGTTAACTACAAAAAAATGCAAGATAAAAACACAAAATGCATAATAAAAACAAGAAGAAAAAACCACAAACCAATAAACTCCCCTCCCTGCACCCCCTGACACAAACACATTTAAAAGGGCATAGAATATCTATCAGCCAAAGGCCTGGTTGAAAAGGAAGGTTTTTGCTGAAAGGTGTAAAATGAAGGTGAGCCTCTTTGGGGAGAGCATTCTACAAGTGGGGAGCCACTGCAGAGAAGGCCCTGTTCTCGTGTTGCCTCCCTCCAGACCTCTCAAGGAGGCGCACAAAGAAGGGCCTTAGATTATGATGACAGGGTCCGGGTCAGTTCATGTGGAGAGAGGCGGTCCTTAAGGTACCGCGGTCCTGAGCCATTTAAGGCTTTATAGTCAAAACCAGCACTTTGAATTGGGCCCAGAAGCTAATCGGCAGCTAGTCGGACCAGGATCGGTGTAATATGCCCAAACCGTCTTGCCCCATTGAGCAACCTGGCCACCAAATTTTGTACCAACTGAAGTTTGCGGACAGTCTTCAGAGGCAGCCCTACATAAAATGTGTTGCTGTAATCTACCCTAAAGGTTAGCAGAGCATTGACAATGGAAGTTAGGCTATCCTTGTCCAGATACTTCTTCTTAGGCAATCACTCATAGCCGAGTAAGATTGTCTTCCATAAACACGGTTTTAAAAGTCAGTCCGTAAGTGACTGTGGAGGCCAGTTCTGGATCCACACGTCCTTCCACAGTGGGGACATAGGTTTCTGGGTGGAAGTTGATCACAGTGAGGGTTTGCCAAGAGTGCCTTCCTCTTAGCGCGTTTCTCCCTTTCGTCCTGAGTTTGAGCGTTTTCAAAGTCCATGACACCTTTGGTCAAGGCTGTTCTCCAACTGGAGCGCTCACAGGCCAGTGTTTCCCAGTTTATACTACATATTTTAAGTTTTGCCTTGAGTGAGTCTTTGAACCTCTTTTGTTGACCTCCAAGATTATGCTTACCATTTTAAAGTTCAGAATAGAGTAGTTGCTTTGGAAGACGATAATCAGGCATCCAAACAACATGATCAGTCCATGTCTCATCAACACTGCACACATGATCACTGTGTTTGAAATGACTGGGAGAGACATCAGCATCATGTGTGTGTGTGGGGGGGGGGAGGGTTGAAGGTACTAGCCTGCTCCGTCCTGAAATGCCTAAGACATAGGTAGGCAAACTAAGGCCCGGGGAGCCAGATCCGGCCCAATCGCCTTCTAAATCCAGCCCGCGGATTTTTGCATGAGTAGAATGTGTGCTTTTATTTAAAATGCATCTCTGGGTTATTTGTGGGGCACAGGAATTCGTTCATCCCCCCCCAAACAAATATAGTCGTCGTCCCCCCCCCCGTCCCCATCCCCCGATCTGAGGGACTGGTGCCCTACTGAAAAAGTCTGCTGACCCCTGGCCTAAGGAATGCCTAAGAGTGGGTGGGTGTACTATCCTCCGGCTGTTTACCTTTGTGCTCCTCAAAAGCAGTGGGTTTAATGACAGCAAAAGTGTTTTGCACAGGAAAGAAGAATTCCATTTCCTTTGCAGCTTGTTCAGAGGTTGAGCTTCCATGCAGCTGATTGATGGGTGCGTTGTCAACCGCGAACTCAGCGCGTAAGCTAGAGACCACAAAATCAGGAAATTAGATATAGGACACAAGAAGCTTTGTGTTTCCAACTTTAAAAAGGTAAAGGACCCCTGACAGTAAAGTCCAGTCACGAACAACTCTGGGGTTGCGGCGCTCATCTCGCTTTATTGGTCGAGGGAGCCAACGTTTGTCTGCAGACAGTTTTTCCGGGTCATGTGGCCAGCATGACTAAGCCGCTTCTGGCAAAACCAGAGCAGCGCATGGAAACGCCGTTTACCTTCCTACCGGAGCAGTACCTATTTATCTATTTGCACTTTGACATGCTTTCAAACTGTTAGGTTGGCAGGAGCTGGGACAGAGCAACGGGAGCTCACCCCGTCGCGGGGATTCGAGCCCTAGGCTCAGTGGTTTAGACCACAGCGCCACCCCCGTCCCGTTTCCAAGTTACCCCTCGACAAAAGGATGTAGTTGGGGTTCAGCCTGGGGAAACAGTCCCGCCTCCCCCACGTTACTGACAGGTTAGGGCACAGGGATCTGTGAATCTGCATTATTCAGAGATGCAACTTTTTCACCTTTGTCAAATCAGGGCATTGACAAAACAATGCAATCATTTTTATAATACTGTACACTAACCACTAAAATATGGGTTCAATGGCACGGGGGGGGGGGGAATGTAGCAGAAGAAAGCATGCAACACTGTCCAGAGGATGGCACTGTTGTCAAACAACTTACAACATGCTTTAACTTTACTTATGCTCTACCGTCTCTATCTATCAGAATGCAATGTATTTGTAAGGTACTGGTGTGTGTGTGTGTGTGTGTGTGTGTGTGTGTTTAAAAAATACCTTGTTGGGCATTGTTCCTTTGCTTCCTCTACTATCTTTGGGCCCAGTAAAGCTCTCCATTTCTGTATCGCATTTTCTCGTACCAAAGCAAGTGCAAGAGTTGGTCCGCTGTCCGGTGCAAATACAACAGAAGGTTTTTAAAAAGACCTGTCACAAACTCATGTTTAGCTCTCTCTTTTTTGCATTTATAAAACTATTCACAAATTCCATGTGAATCACTCGTACCAAAGTGATTCTAAGTGCTCTGCTATTAACTGAAATAGCTCAGTCAGGGTTGCCAGTAAAGTAAGGAATTTATTAAACAAACTAGACAGAAAAAAGGGAGAAATACTTGGTTAAATGCAGCATCCCTGCTAGTTTGAGAAATACGTTATGCACAATATTCCTAGCATTTTAAATAAATTTATTTGTAAAAAAAAAGTGGATACGCAGGAGCCTAGGTTATTTTTTTGTGTTTTCTGTTGGTCTGTTTTACTTATGGGCCCCATACGCATCACTTTATCTTAATATAGGACCAAATAGATAGCATTCCCTCCTTATCTGGAAGTAATCTCAACTTTGCCCGGCATTCTCCCCAAAACTGATCATCATCTGATTGTCCATTTTACCAGAAAACCTGGAACTCTAGTGGTGGCGCCAGCCCCATCACCGGGAAGGACTAAATTAAATGACAGATGCCCCATGAAGTTGAACAGTGGACAATAATAGGATTCACTGCTCAGTTTGGGATCCCATGAGGGCAGCTTGAACCAGAGGCCGTGTATGTAATACATTCTGTACCTGCGATTTTGTACTCATTTTATACATCCCTGATTAATATTTGATTCTCACCCTTCCACCAAGTTTCAGAGTTGCGGTGTGTAAAATAAATTTATCTCCCTGCATTTAAAGCTCTTGCTTCTCAAGGGGCGCACCTGGTCATTTGTTCCAGTAGAGCTGGGAAATAATCTTGACCTTCGTGCTCTTTGTAAAACTCACGAGCTTGCTCTTCTGTTAAGACGATTTCTCTTTGCATTGCTATCTGAAAGCCATCCTCCTCAATCCTTTTCAGAATAGAATCTGCGTGCAAAAGACGATTAACAGTTAAGACATGTAGGCACCCCACCCCACGGTACTCTGTGGATACAGCAAGACTGGGGAGGCGGCCGCTTTCAAAAAGTGGGGGCGTTCTCACCCACCCAGCCAGGCCACTGCCATCCCATCCATTGGAAATGGCTGCCTCTCGAGTTTTTTCTTAGGCCACGCCCCTCGTGGCAGCCATATTGTGCTATGCAGCTTTTAACATCAAAACCCATTGTGTTTTGATGTGTGCTGAGTCCCTACGTGTACTTGTTGTATACATATTTCATCTGATCCATCCACTGTAATTATTAAGTTTGCAGGTGATACTACCATAATGGGTCTAAATACAGGTGGAGATGAATCAGTGTACCGGGGGGGGGGGAGGTTCAGAAAGTATCTACATGGTGCTTAGAGAATAACTTGCACCTAAATATTAGCAAGACAAAGGAGATGGTGTTGGACTTTCGGAGGAACTAGCACCCTTGTATATCAGGGGTGTGTGTGTGGAGAGAGTCTCTTCCTTTAAATTCCTGGGAGTTCACCTTAGTGAAGACCTCACTTGGAAAAACAAGTTATAACTCAGGTGGTTAGGAAGGCCCAACAGAGACTCCATTTCCTCAGGGTCTTGCGAAAGAACAATGTTAAACAATTGATGACCTCCTTCTACCAGCCCACAATAGAAAGTGTCCTCTCATAGTGTATCACAGTGGGGTACGTTGGCTTGACAGCCAAGGACAGAAAGTCTCTACAGAGGGTGGTGAATACAGCACATGATATCATGGGCTGTCCCTTGAGTCCGCTAGATGACATTGCAAGGGATCATTGCCTTAGGAGAGCAAGAAAAATTCTCAGGGGCGATTCACACCCCGGCCAGCACCTCTTTAATCTTCTACCCTCGGGCAGGAGATATAGAAGTATAATCAATCATACCAACAGGCTAAAAAACAGTTTCTATCCATGGGCTGTTGAATGGAAAATAATATAGTGCAACTGACTTTCAGGGTTGGTGTGTTGTGCGACAAGCACACACCGTGCAATGAGACTGAGTGTTTGGGGGGGGGAGCTCGGTTAATTTCATTGTGCACAGGTTGTACATTGACAATAAAGGTATTATTATTATTATTGTGTTGGGTATTGTAAGATACTGCCCTGCGCATAGCAGTCCCTGGTACAGAGTCAATGCAAGAATAGCTTCTGCGACCACATTTCTGGACCCAGCAGCATGTCAAGAATACGGAGAGAATTGTGTATTTGACGTTCACTAACCTCTCCTTTCCCTCAAGAGAGAAGGTCTAATCAAGGCCACTGTTTTTTCAAGAGCTGGGCCTTTCTTCGGCTTGGAAAAATCAGGGAACAAGAAGGCCAATTCGCGGCTTGCTTCTTCCATTCTGTCATGAACGTCACATAAATCTGACATAGCCTGGCCTTCCAAGAACCCTTTCAAGCTAATAAAGGGTAAAATAATATAAATGTAACCACTGTTAAACATTTTACAAAGTACAAAATGAGCACTTAATACATCACAATAGCTTTGAGGTGAAATTTATAGACTTGGCTGTGAAACACTAATCTTGCTGCAATAGACAGACATAATTCAAAACATAATTTCAGAGGCGAGAGAGAGAGGGGCTGGTGTGTACATGGGCAGATTCTGGTAAACTTTTGTAATATGGCGCCCTGGGTGAGGCCAAAATTTGGTGCCCCCAAATGGATCTTCTCAACTTTGGATTGTCTCAGTTTCACATCCCCACAGTGTGGTGCCCTGTGCTTTGTAACTGCCCAGACTGCCCCACATAATTGATGACAAGGCGCAGTCCACACACCCCATTTGAATGGCAATGCTCATGAACTTTGGGGGTCCCCAACCCCCTCAAATATTTTACTGGGGGGCCGAAGCAACCCCCTAGGAGTTGGTGCCTGTGCCACGGCCCCTACCGGTGTATGCCATTGCATATTAAAATGGGTTAAACCGGAACTCAAAAAGAAATCGTGAGTAATCTGTAAGGAAAAGGAAATCTGGGAGAGAAACCTGCGGTTCTGCACATGCCCATTCAGAAATTATATAAAAATGAATGTATTGCCTAGAATGTTGTTTTTGTTCCAAACACTGCAAATTGTGGACAAGATGGACTGTTTCAAGAAGTGGCAAAAAGACATTTCTAAATTTGTCTGGCAGGGCAAAAAGCCCAGAATAACTGATGCAAAAGAAAGGGGGGGATTTGCCCTGCCAGACTTCAAACTTTACTATGAATCAGCAGCTTTCTGCTGGTTGAAAGATTGGCTACTTCTTGAGAATACAGATATTTTGGATTTAGAAGGGTTCAACAATACTTTTGGGTGGCATGCATATCTGTGGTATGACAAGGTAAAAGCTCATAAAGCTTTTAAAAATCATATTGTCAGGAAAGCATTGTATAATGTCTGGATTAAATATAAAGATTTGCTGGAAAATAAAACTCCCAGGTGGTTATCTCCAATGGAGGCGAAGGCCGTGAAAAAACTTAATATGGAGTCGAAATGGCCGAAATATTGGGAAATTGTGGAACAAGAGGAGGATAAATTGAAATTGCAGAGTTATGAGAAATTGAAAGATAAAGTGCGAGACTGGCTTCACTATTATCAAATAATGGAAGTTTTTAAGTCCGATAGGAAAAATGGTTTCCAGGTGGAAAAATCGAAATTGGAGACAGAACTGTTAGAATCCAAAACTAAGAACTTGTCAAAAATGTATAACTTGCTGTTGGAATGGAACACACAGGATGAAACAGTTAAATCAGCTATGATTAAGTGGGCACAAGATATTGGTCATAACATCATGTTTGAAGACTGGGAACGGTTATGGACCACCGGTATAAAATTTACGGCATGTAATGCCTTAAAAGAAAATATTATGAAAATGATTTATAGGTGGTACATGACCCCAGTCAAGCTTGCAAAAATTTACCACTTGTCTGATAATAAGTGTTGGAAATGTAAAGAGACTGAAGGTACATTCTTTCACCTTTGGTGGACGTGCCCAAGGATTAAGGCTTTCTGGGAGAAGATTTATAATGAAATGAAAAAGGTATTTAAATATCCCTTTCTGAAGAAACCAGAGGCCTTTCTCCTGGGTATGGTTGGCCAATTGGTGTCAAAGAAGGATAGAACATTTTTTATGTATGCTACAACAGCAGCAAGAATACTTATCGCAAAGTATTGGAAGACAGAAGAACTACCCACCGTGGAAGAATGGCAGATGAATGTATAGACTATATGGGACTGGCAGAGATGACTGGCAGAATCCGAGACCAGGGGAAAGAGACGGCGGAAGAAGATTGGAAGAAATTTAAAGACTATCTTAAGAAATATTGTAAAATTGCCGAATGTTAAGACGACGTTGATTCCGAAATAATCATTATGTAAATATGAAAAGAAAGTTCAAAAATTTAATAGAAATTAAGGGAAGGATTTGTTGAAGAGAATTAATTAGAGATTGGAATGCAGTAAGGAGAGGTATGAGGAGGTCGGGAAAGTAAGTTTCATGAACATAAGGGAATGAAGTTATACATGTGGTTTTTTGCTTTTTTGTATGTATTTTTGTCTTTTTTGTGTGTTTTTTGTGACTTTTATGTTTTATAAATTTGTGGAAACGCCAATAAATATCTTTAAAAAAAACAACAACACAGAAATTAATTCTAGCTGGTCTTCAAGTTAAGCCAAAAGGTTGTCAGAATTGAAGGCAAGTCCGAGTGAACCCCTCCCCACCCTGAAGAATAAAGTAACAGTGGCTTTCCAGAGGGGCAGTTGTGCAATTATTTTGCAGCCACAGCAGATGGCACCTTAGGCCCCAGCCCCTTTATTAAGTCCTAACCTTTCATGGACTATAGTCTACTTCCATCGGATGCGTGAAGTCCTATCCTGAGTTAGATGTGTAGGGGAGGAGATTGCAAACTGTGAGGTTGGAAGGAAATTAGATGCAGAGATAATTTCCAAACAGCTGTGTCATGCTTGTGATAATATTTTATTCTCTTGTTAATTATGCTGTTTTAAACGTGCATTTTATATTTGACTTCACTTACCAACTGTTTTTGAAATGTTTAAGATTTTTTTTCTTAACTTTGTTTGTGTTAAATATGTATTCTGTAGTTGACCTCCTTGGTTACGTTGTATTTTAAGATAATATTTTAGTTTTCTGTTAATTATGTTGCTTTGACTGTATACTTTGTATCTGACTTTCTTCAGAAATGTTTGATTCTGGATTGTTTTACTGATGTTTTAATATGCTGTTAAAATATAAAGCGGTATAGAAATGAAATTAATAAATTAATAATTTGTTGAGTGAAGTAAATCGATATTGCCTAGCATGAAGAAACACTTGAAATACCGGGGCAGATTTGAAAAATCCTGCACATAGTATCCAATGCACAAGCAACATTACTGTCAATCACATATTGGGTGGGAGAAATCACATCCACCTGCACACCCATATACTCACGCACTCCATGTTGGGATCTACCTGGCTGGCGCTTCACTTGGAGGTTTCCGATACCCTTCTTCCTCCTCCTCTTCCTCCTCCTCCTCTTCTTCTTCCCCCTCCTCTCCCTCCTTCAGTTCTCCAGGAGCTAATTCTTGTAAATAAGGCATAACCTCATGCGTTTGCTTTCCTTCAGAAACGATCAGTACATGGCATGGTCCAGACAGCATAAATGAAACAAACTCTTCAAAGTCAAGCTGGGGGGGGGGCGGGAAAGTATTTTTGTCATTAGGTGCCAGGAAAGAAGACTCACCATCAATTAATTTAGCACTACATTTCTCCCTGTTATTACCGAGATACAAGGTACCTGTAACATCATATTGTCATATTCATTAGGTAATCTAGCAATAAGGACGCGGGTGGCGCTGTGGGTTAAACCACAGAGCCTAGGGCTTGCCAGTCAGAAGGTCGGCGGTTCGAATCCCTGCAACGGGGATCAATGGCTATGTTCTCCCACATTTGTCTGTTCTTCTTACCTCTTCCGATTTGTCTTGATAAAAATCCCTAACTTGCTCATCCGTTAATGTCCTCAGGGCTTCTGCAAGAATGTTAAAGCCTGCCTCTGTAATCTTCAGTTATCGGAGCACATTTCAGAAGAAAAAAGGTTGGGTTATTAGGCTGTGTTTAAGCAGTGCAACCAATCAAAGAACTTTTAACTGATCAGTTATCTGATCTGAACAAAGGAACAAATGAAAATTCAAAAAATTCATGTATCGCCATAATCTTAATGTAAAAACTTTAAACAAACAGGGAGGTGCAACATACAATTTAATGTGATCAATCATTTTTAGGATGGAAAGCCATCTTTGATACCCCTTTTTCATTCTCTGTTACAGCAGACCAGCATGCCCACAAAATTGCCTGATCATCTAAGCATTCTTAGAAGATTAGGGCTGAGTTATTGGTTAAATGTACAGATAGGATTGTGCTGAAAAGCTTGCATCCAGTAATTTGATTTTGCACAAAAGTATTTAACCGATCCTGAAATATTATATATAAAGCAGTGACTCGTTGCAAGTACGATGTTCTAAATTCATGCAAGCAAGGCTTGTGAATCTCTTCACCATGAAATTAAGATGTTGTGGAAAACACGGGGCATACTGCCTTTAGGTTTTGAGCCTGTTAAAGAAGTTCTCAGTTGCTACAGCCACTGTTGCTTAGTAACCGATAGGAGGGGAAATAAGCATATAATGCAAGAGTAGATAGTGGTTTTATCATAGTGCTTGATGAAGTGGTATATTGGTGTTATTGGCACAATGACTGTGTGCACATTACTGGTCTAAAATGCAGTTGCTTTTCTCAATTCAGATCTAAGCTGTTTTGTGGGACAGCACACCAAAATGCAGGATTTCATAAGAAATGCTAGAACAGGTACAGGATATATATGGCTTGTGTATATGGCTTATGGTTAACTGCTTTCCAAACCAGGGGTGGGGCCACACTGGATGCAGAGCAAATATGAAGAGTGTAAGCAGCCAAACAAAAATTGTTCCACAAAGCTCTCTGGCTTTTCAAGGGAGCAGCATCCATGCTACAGATTACACAGAAATACAGATTAGCACAGCATTTAATACATCACTGTGCAAGTATTTACAGCCCACCAAAATGGTTTCAGCCCCCTTGCCATGTAAGACAGCTTACTAAGCTTCTTTATGGCCTTCCTGAAGCTGGAAAAAAACAGGATAATGTGTCAGACACATGGCTCTTGGTCTGTTTTCATATGGAAGTTTTGCGCATCTGGCTTAGCAAATTCCTGCCATCCTAGTTTTCAAATGAATCAGTATTGTTTCATATTTTTCGGTAAAAAGTTTTCTTTACCGTTTGTTTAATTTCTTCAACTTTTCCTGCTTCAACCGCATCAGGTTTTATGATCACAACAGTGTATTTTTCCTCCTCTAAAAGAGAAGCAGTATATAACATTCACCATATAGGAACAAGACTACGTACTAAGTAACTTCCTATGTCAAATGTTCTTTTATAGATACATGCCTGTGATGCTTTAACAAGCACTAACATCTATGCCTCCCCTGTGTGGGATCCATTTACAGTGGTATCTCGGTTTTCGAATGTAATCTGTTCTGGAAGACCATTCGACTTCCAAAAAGTCTGAAAACTGAGGAACAAAGGGCAGTCTGCCAATTCAACAGAGAAAATTGTAAAAAACAACAGATACATGCAAGCAGAAGCCGTTCGACTTCCAAGGTGTGTTCAAAAACGGGAGCATTTACTTCAGGGTTTTCAGTGTTTGAAAACTGAAACGTTTGGCAATGGAGACATCCGAAAATCGAGGTGCCACTGTATTTAAATGCAAATCCTTACAGGCATCTGACCACATCTGACCATCAGAAAGAGCACCACATCACAATTTCATATCTGTGTCTTCAGGAAGGAGATTCCAAATGACATTATCATACAGGTAGATAAGTATGAGAAATGTGATCAGGACAAACAAAACTATGTTTAAAAGACACTGGCAGTATAGCTGACTGAAAACCAGTTCCAGTAAGTCCACCGCTGCCTTTCCCCTCCACCTCTAGCGCCTGGTAAGCAGCATGACTAACCAGAGGTGAAGTGAGTCACAGTTTTATGGACCCCGAGGCAGGGTGGTGGGAAAGAGCGTGCTTAACTCCTCCCCATTGGAGCTGCGGGGGCGTCTGTCTCCTGCTAAGACATTCCTACCAATAAACGGTTAATGGACGACAACAACGATCACACCACTGATTTGCTACCCATCTAAAAATAAAAGAAAATCTATCAGGAAAACTTGCCGACAGCTTCTTCTTCTACCAGTTCTTCATCGGATTCTTTTTCCTCCACAAACAGAAGTTCTGGCAACTGAAAATGTTTTCACTGTTACATGACGGTCATACCAACTTTTCAAAATAATATTTGGTAAGGATGCAATCATGAGACAGTTCTTTCGAAAGTTTCCAAACAGTATAGAAATGAAACATCACCAATATAGATTCTCCATAGGCAGATGGATGGATGGAAAGAAAGCATTAAGAAAGCATCAATGGAGAGATACCATCAGCTGCAAGGTAAGGGAGGTTTGATTGGATAAAAGCCAGTGATGGGGAGGAGAGCACTGGTTGAGGATTGCAGTTTGGAGGGAAGGGGATAATCTTCCCTGCTGTGGTGTTTCTTCAATATACCACCCCACCCCACTATTAGTAGTTTTAGGGGGTGTCTTCTGGATGGGCTGGAAAGGCTACTCTCCCATGCTCCCTATGCCCCAGCTACCATCCTGACATAATTCAGGGCCTCCCACGGCAGCTGTTTCCTTGCCTGCTTTCTTACTTAAAACTTTCCAGGGTGTGGCCCTGCCTTCCGGCTCCTTGGTCTCTGGGTCGCCCTTGTAGAACTCAGGAGAGGGAAGATGGCGACAAAACTAGAATAAATTGGCTCTGCCTGTCATTGGCTCTGGCGCCATCTGCTTCCCCGCCTCCCTGCCTTCTCATGCCACCAATCCCAAGGACTGGCCTCCCTGCCTTCTCATGCCACCAATCCCAAGGGGTAGCAGCCATCATTGCCTATAATCACTCACAGGCAGTAAGTCCCACTGAATTTGGTGAGGTGTGATTTGGAGTAGATTTGTTTATGACTGCACCGCTCGGCACCAACAGGGACTTCTGTGCTTAAAATAGCAAGCTGGTGCGCATGTTTCTGAGATTACGTTCCATTGAACATGGTAGGACTCTGTTGCAAAGGGTGGGTGTCATAGAGCTGCAAAGGCACCCTCTTGAGACGGGCATTGCTGCAGCTTACCTGGGTGGGAGGTCCAGGCTGTGCGACGCACCAGTGGGAGTACTGGACTGGCCCTGCCAGTGCATCTGTGCAACCCCAAATTTGCTGCAACCCTGCCCCACAACAAGACCCATGGAAATAAAGGTAAAGGTACCCCTGACTGTTAGGTCCAGTCGTGGCCGACTCTGGGGTTGCGGCGCTCATCTCGCTTTATTGGCCGAGGGAGCCGGCATACAGCTTCCGGGTCATGTGGCCAGCATGACTAAGCTGCTTCTGGCGAACCAGAGCAGCTCCCGGAAATGTCGTTTACCTTCCCGCCGGAGCGGTACCTATTTATCTACTTGCACTTTGATGTGCTTTCGAACTGCTAGGTTGGCAGGAGCAGGGACCGAGCAACGGGAGCTCACCCCGTTGCGGGGATTCGAACTGCTGACCTTCTGATCGGCAAGCCCTAGGCTCAGTGGTTTAGACCACAGTGCCACCCACAACTGCACATTCATACGTGTCCAATGGTGCCTGTGTCCATTTACGTTTCCTAGAATTGTTCTGGTTAACTTCAGCCTCCACCTGATGTTGTCGTGTGCAAGTGCCATAGATCATAAGCCATTGTAGATCATCACCCACCTAGTTTACCCCTCACAAGAGTTACACTTCCCAGTTAGCCTTAAGAAACTGCAGTGCCCAGAATTCTTTGAGGGTGCGGGAAATGTGTTTCAAATGTGCTTTAATGGTGAGGGGCAGCCCTGGACACCATGAATGGGCACTCCTAGCGAATTGCACCCTTAGGATTGGAGTTAATTTTCAAAACTCTCTGCATCATTTCCAAAGCAGTTTGCAACAGAGAAATGGTCCGACGGGGGGGGGGGGGGATCAATAAGTATGTAGGGTGAACATATACTCAGGGTAGCACTTTCAAACCAATGAAAACAGGAATGTGTACAAAGAATAAAAATCATCTCAGCAATAAAGCAGAACACAGAGCATTAGAAAGAGAAGGCAACCGTATTTCTTAATAAAATATGCCAATACTGAGTCAAGGCAGAGTTACCTCTGGTCTTTCTGCTTCTCCTGCTACGATTCTTCTCTCTCGTTCTACTATCTCTATGACTTTTCTACACAGAAGAGGTCCATTCGCGCCTCTCACAATGTCTACCATCTTGCCATCCTGCAAATAATATTTGCCCAAATAAAACAGTGTTCAGCAACATCTCATAGTTTTGTATGTTTTAATTGGTTTCTAACAACAAATATTTTCCAGGTGCAAACCTTTCGTTTTATGTGCTTTATTCGCTTCCAACAACCTGGAAGCCTATGGCTGCAATCCTATCAGTGGTATCCAAGGTGAGTCACACTCAAACCTAAATAACTTAAGTCCAATTATTTCAGTGGGTCTATTCTGAGTATGACTAACTCTTGTTATCACCCTATACGTATTTATCTTTGCTTAAAAATTATTTTTTATATCCTACCTTTTTGGGAATAGCCAACCAAGTCTGCTCAAAATATCACAAAAACACCATAATCACAATGATATAAAATAATTAAAATTAACAGCATTGATCATTATCTTTCAAATGCGTGGTATACTCACTTGCCTGGGAGTCTCATTGAACTTATTTCTGAGGAGACCTGCACAAGATGGCACTGTAAGACCGCAGTCCTATGTTCACCTACTTTGGAGTAAGTCCCAATGACCTCAGTGTGACTTACTTCTGAGTAAAAATGCATAGGATTGCACCGAAGGTTAGTTAAGCTCCAGCTGAGCCTATTGGAATCAATGTAAAAAGTTACCATGACTTGCCCCAATGATTTCCATGGGAACTGAGCTCAACTAGCATAGCATGAATCTACATATACATTATAATTAATTGTTTATTCCATTTGCATAAACGAACCAGAGGGGGGTCAGTGGTGTGGGAACACTGGGAGTCTTAGCTGTGGAAGGTGATGGAAGAAAATTGAGAAGTCCCTGAGCCCTCATGATCACAACATTGTGACACCAATGACCAGCTCTGCATCACTACACAGTTCCAAAAGATGGCAGTGACTATCTCAGGGCTTATCCACACCCTTTGCCCCACTCTTTTCAGGCACAGGTTCATGATTAAACACTCTGTGTCCGAGCATTTTAACCCCCCCCCTTTTGGGGCTTTCCCTGCAAAAACCCAGTCTTTAGTGCTCAATCGGTGCAAACGTTAATTCAGGTTTTCCATGGACTGACGTTTGCTCTGATTGAGCTTAAAGGAGTGGATTTTTGCAGTGAAAACTCCAGAGCAAAAAAAAGAGGGGGGGGGAGCGATTTGATGTGGAACTTTAAAGAATGGAGGAAAGCTAATTATGGTTCAGCCTTCGATGAAGCATTCCCCTTTCTCCTATCACAGAGGGAAATGCTTCTTGTGGCACCTGCTGGTATACCCAGGGGATTCATGCATTCCTGTTAGTTTCAGTTGTTTTTATGTTCTTGTATTATTTTTGTATTAAAATTTGTTTGTTTGTTTGTTTGTTTAAAAATCTGCTGCTCCAAACAATTGGAGGCACTTGATTCAAACGATCAAAATATTTCGTTTGATTTATGTGATCAATTAAATTTCTACACCACCGAACCTTTACTGGTTTCTTATCTGACAACTGCTTTGTTTAGGACTGTTCAAAGGATGTTGGAGATAACACTGATGTCTACAGACTAAGCTTGAGATTCTCAACGGCAATGGTTCAAATAATAAGCCATTCTACATCATAGTTCTGATGCCCCCTGGATCTGTCCCCAGTGCCACCAAACCAGCCGTACTCCCCTAAATCTGCCTCTGGCCTGAGCATATTGGCATATAGAATACTCTGCATATGTGTGATCTGGGGTATTCTGAATCCCTTGATGTTTTGTGACCTAGCAGAAAGATGTGCTCCTACACACGCTGATCTTTATGTGTGGCAAATCTATCACCCATCTCCTACTACCCTCCTGAGAAAAACCCCACCCCACCCTCCCACTATATATAAGGGTCTGGTGACTTCTGTTTCAGAGTATCTGAAGAAGTGTGCATGCACACGAAACAAACTTAGAACAAACTTAGTTGGTCTCGAAGGTGCTACTGGACAATTTTTTAAATTTTGACATCTATCACTAGTTTGTTGTCAGTTGTTCCAGCTCCATAGTCAACCATTTCATATAAATCCATACTTCAATGATGCGCCTCTTTTCAATCTGAAGAATTAACTGAGAATTAGTCACCAGCAAAACAAAAACTAAAGTCATTCACCATGTACTTACCACACAGAAGATAAAAGCGGGTTCACATTTATCTTTAAAGGGGAGCAGACTTGGAATGCTGTTAGCTTCTGCCTTAAATGAAGGACAGATACATAACCTACATTATTATCATTTTTCAAAACACCCGCAAGCCAAGCTATAGCAATTCCCATATACAGTGGTACCTTGGGCTACAAACACCTTGGATTACAAAGACTGCGGGTTACAGACTCCGCTAACCTGGAAGTAGTACCTCGGGTTAATAACTTTAATTCAGGATGAGAACAGCAATTGTGTGCCAGTGGCGTGGCGACAGCAGGAGGCCCCATTAGCTAAAGTGGTACCAGGGACTTACCCAAAGAGGCTAGTGGAGCAGGGCGCCAAGTTCTGGAGGGCACCAGGGAAGAGGCAGGGGCTAGACGTGGCGGCTCCTGGCATCAGCTCGCTGCCCTCGCCCGCCTCCGCCATGCCACGCCGAAGCAGCGCCGCGTCCAGAACCTCCACCTGCCGTGGCCACTGCGGCACGAAGTGGCCAGCTGAGCAGGGGGCCGCCACGTCCAGCCTCTGCCTCTTCCCCACCCGAAGAGCTGCCCTCCAGCTGCTGCCCACCTCCTCCAGAGAGACCTTCACACCACAGTGCCAGATATGCTTAAGACGGCCCTGAGTGGTACCTCAGGTTAAGAATGGTTTTGGGTTAAGAACGGACCTCCAGAATGAGTTAAGTTCTTAACCAGAGGTACCACTGTAGATTCTCTGTAGAGTATTGCTGGCTGGCTCACTGAGAGTTTTGATTTGCAGTCTGCTGATAGCTTCATGCCTTGTTTCCAGTTTAGATCCCATTCAAAATAAATGTTTGCATGACTTCACCGTTAACACGACTGTCAGAGCTGCCTCAGGTCCCAGCTCACAAAGGACCAACGCCAGTCCGTTGTTATATGAAATAGTCTTTATTGAAGTTCAGTTTCTCATTTACAGCCACGGCGCGCAGCTCTACGTCTTAAACCCTAGACCGCCGAAGCTCCGTCTGAGTCTCCTCCCCCCAGACACCAGTTTAAGACCCTAGCCTTGCTCCACCTCTTCCTCTGCTCCCTCCTCCTCTGGGTCCGCTTGTCCGCCGAGGTCTTGCCCTTCCTAGACTCTTCTGATGCTGAGTCCCCTGAGTCTTCCCCCTCCCTCCGGCGGGCTTTAGGACCTGGTTCCCAATCCGGGTTTTCTGCTGTCCCGCGCGCCTGTACATTTGAACTTGGCGCGCGCGCCCAGCCTGCCACCTTCCTTCTGACCGTTATACTGCTCCTGTCGCTGCTTCCCTCTTCGGGGATGCTAGCTGGGTCTGACTCCTCCTCCCTGCTTGCCGGAGGAGACGCTGACTCTGACCTATGGGGCTCTTCCCCCCCACTACGCTCTGGTGGGGAAGCTGGTCCTGATTTCCAGCTACTGCTTTGGGAGTCTCCGCTGGCCCCCTGCTTCTGGTGTGTCCCCCCTGGGACCCCCCTTGCCCTGGCCATCGGCGTCCCCTTCTGGGAATCTTCTGATTCACTGGAGAGGCTCATGGAATCTCTCGGGTCACTGTCATTCTGCCCTCCGCTGCCCTCAGATTCTTCCCCTTCGCTCTCCATTTCCTCTCTCCCCTGTGCCTCTGCTCCTGAGCCCCTGACAAGGACCATAGATGGTGCTACTGAAAAATGCAAATGTAAGGAAATAAATAGCATTCTTCTAGCCAAAGGTCTGAAATCCCATTAGTTTTAAAGGGAAAGCAAGAGTTAAGCACATGCTTGCTTAATATTTCACTGAAATCAATGGGAAATTAATATGTGTAAAGCTCTGCACACATTACTAGGTTAAAAGACAGCTTGGTTGTTCTTTTCCCCAATTCAGATCAAAGTGGGTTTCAGGTAAAAACATCAAAACCTGGTATTTAATAAGAAATGGCATGATAGATGTGGATTGTGGTGTACAGCACTTCCCAAACCAGCAGTGGGAGCAGTATTTCAACATTTTTGAAAATCCAGAATCTTTAACATTGGTCTTTAGGGATGTGGAACACTCTCTGAAATGAACAGTGAAGATCTGTTAAACAATATTTTGTGTTCTAAATTTTGAGGGCAGAATACCCTCTCCTTCTGAAAGTTACGTATTCCCAAGGCTTGATTTTTATTTTTTGCAATACTATTTGTAGATGAACTACATCTGCACCAATTCTTGTATTTTTAGCTTGAAGGTGGCTAAAAGGTGGCTAAAAGGTAAAGGTAAAGGTACCCCTGACGGTTAGGTCCAGTCGCAGACAACTCTGGGGTTGCGCGCTCATCTCACTCTATAGGCCGAGGGAGCCGACATTTGTCCGCAGACAGCTTCCGGGTCATGTGGCCAGCATGACTCTGGCGAACCAGAGCAGCGCACAGAAACACAATTTACCTTCCCACTGGAGTGGTACCTATTTATCTACAGGCACGTTGACGTGCTTTTGAACTGCTAGGTGGGCAGGAGCTGGGACCGAGCAATGGGAGCTCACCCCGTCACGGGGATTCGAACTGCTGACCTTCCGATCGGCAAGTCCTAGGCTCAGTGGTTTAGACCACAGCGCCACCCGCTAGGGTTCATATATTATAATTCTGTTACTCCTCCCCTCTTTCGTAACTATGCAGTAGCTTTTCATATGTGATAGTGTTGCCATATTTCAAACAGTGAAAATCTGGCCAGAAAAGTAGTTGTTTAGCTTTTTTGGCAAATTTGCAAAAAAAGGGGGGGGGAAGATGTTTTGGGGCTATTTTTAAGGATAATTGCCAAAAATGACACTGCCAACATGGGTTGCCATATGTCTGAATTTTCCTGGACATTTTTTGCGGGGGAGGGGGCAATTTCCACACAGAAACAGCTTCCAACTGCAGTATTCTGGATATGTCCAGGAAATTCTGAATGTATGGCAACCCTGATATGTGACTACAGTATTTCTCCAGCAGCTGAAATCAGTCAACCTAGCAATAAAATAATGATAGTGTACAGTGGTACCTTCAGGTTACATACGCTTCAGGTTACAGACTCTGCTAACCCAGAAATAGTGCTTCAGGTTAAGAACTTTGCTTCAGGATGAGAACAGAAATCGAGCGGTGCAGCGCAGCGGCAGCAGCAGGAGGCCCCATTAGCTAAAGTGGTGCTTCAGGTTAAGAACAGTTTCAGGTTAAGAACGGACCTCCGGAACGAATTAAGTACTTAACCCGAGGTACCACTGTATTTGGAATGTATTCTTCAGTGTTTTGCTGAAACTGCAACAAGGACATTAATCACAGAGCACAAAAATAGACTTCCCCCAAAATGTTTGGTATTGGAAGGCTTCATATCCGGATCCTTACCACCGCAAAATGCAGAAGATCATCTTCACCATATTCATTTTTTAGTTTTCTGAATAAGCTCAAGACAGCCTTGCAAGGTCCACACCAAGCCTGATACACATCTACTACTGGGAAACAGACAACAAAGTGCCTAAATAAAATGTGTAACTTCAAATGGGTGATATCGTTTTTTCTGATCTGGGGGCAGGGACATGCCCCTCTGTTGAAACCATGTTTTTACCAGGTTTTATGGGAAAGATCACAAATTAATAATAGGCATGGTGTATCAGTAATAGTAAGCAATCATATTCCAGGAATTAACACGTGTTTTAAGTTTTACTACATCTGTTACTACTATAAATTTATTTATACACCACTTGTATACCAAAATGGCTTCTAAGTTTACAAGCATAAAATCAATTATAAAATCCATACGTAATTAAAATACACAATGGAACAGGCTTATCAAAGCAGTAAAACCCCTTTAATTAAAATATACACAAGCCAGTTAAAAGGCATAACAATTTAAACAGTTATAAAGAATTAAAAATAAGACCAAAAGGCCAAGTCCAGGCATGTCTTCAAGAACTGGCAGACTGCCAATACTTGTTTTCAGCAGAGGTGGCCTGCCATATGTGGTAGACACAGGCCCAGAACAGGTGAACACAGTGACTGCCAGGTTGCCACAGAGACCATATTATACCATTCCTGAAAGACCTACATTGGCTCCCAGTGCGTTTCTGAGCACAATTCAAAGTGTTGGTGCTGACCTTTAAAGCCCTAAATGGCCTCAGCCCAGTATACCTGAAGGAGCATTTCTACCCCCATCGTTCAGCCCGGACACTGAGGCAGTGGCACAGCTTCATGCTCCGGCACTGGGGGGGGGGGCGGAGAGCAGGCAGGGGCGGGGCTGGCGCACGTGGCGGGCATCCTGGGGGCGTGGTGCGCCGCCCCATGGGCGTGGCATGCCACCTGGGGGCGTGGCGCCCAGCGCAGGCGGGGGAGCACCCCCGATGGCACCCTACCAGGATCGCGCTGCCGGGGATGTTGCGCTCTCCCCGCACGCCTCTTCCTCCACCACTGCACTGATGTCCAGCACCAAGGGCCTTCTGGCAGTTCCCTCACTGCAAGAAGCAAAGTTACAGGGAACCAGGCAGAGGGCCTTCTCAGTAGTGGCACCCGCCCTGTGGAACACCCTCCAGTCAGATGCGAAGGAAATAAACAACTATCTGACTTTCAGAAGACGTCTGAAGGCAGTCCTGTTTAGGGAAGTTTTTAGTGTTCTGTTGGGAGCCGCCCAGAGTGGCTGGGGAAACCCAGCCAGATGGACAGGGCATAAATAATAAAATTATTATTATTATTACTGTTGTTAAACATATTTAATGAAAATCAGAAAACTCAAAAAATGTATGCCTTTGTAGTCTGATTTTACAGTACACAGATGTCAGGTGCCACTAGGATTCAAATCAAGAGCTCTGTAGCCTGCAAATCAGACATTGGCTTTCTGTGCTACTATGCCTGGTAGTCAGACTAGATGTGACAGTAAGTGTAACTTCTTTGCATTTAAGGTGCCCATTTTTAAAAATAAAATGCACCTAGAATCATTGGGAATATTTGTGGGATAACCAGCCTCTTATAACCAACATGCTTAAGTCTAATTAATGCATTAAGAAGTTAATACCATAGAGTAAACTGTTCTTCCGGGCTTGGCTATGTCACTTCCCCTTACTTTGGGAGGAAATAGATAATAAACCCTATTGTTCACCCCCAGTCTACCTGAGCAGCTCAGTATGTGAAGAGGTTTGAGGCGATTGCTCCAGCTCAACCGCATGGCTCTCACTAGCCACTCTTAAGTTCCTACACCAATTGTATAGAAACTTTTACCACTTTATAACTAAGCTAAGTTTTACTGCCTGTGCAACTTTTCTGACTGATGTATGGAAAAGCATATGAACATGACCTTTGGAGAGTTAGTAAGTAAACCAAGTTTCAACTTACCAAACGTGTGATCTTTTCCTATTCTGGGAGAAGAGGGAAATTTTGGAACTGACTTGGCAGGGCATATTTTAAAGATATAACAGCCTATATTTCCACACTTTATTTCACTGCATGTTTTTGGACTACTTACATGAAATAAGTTCTGAAAAGTTAAAATCACACAGGAATTTGTTTTTGTGAGGATACAACATCCAGTAAAGGGGTTACAAAGTACATGCACTTGTAAATGCACTGCAGTGATGTACACAATTAAAACTGGTGCGTACATGCTTGCACACACACACACTTTAGTATATAAGAGGAAAGGCGGGAATTGTACCTGTTAGACCTTTCTTCAGCAACATTTCTTCCCATTGTTCTTGAGTAAGTATTACTGCCTAAAGTAAAGCAAACGTAGAGTTTTGTCAGCTTTAAAGTGCTGGGTGTTCCAGCCAGCAGCTGAATAATTAAGGTAAAAGACAAAATCTCTACCTGTAGCTGAACTTCCTTCTTCTTGCTTGCCATCTTATTCCCTACAATTGTGTAAATGTAACAAACAGCCGATTGAGAAAGATATTGGATTATAACTAAATCCCACTCAGAGTATTCCCACTGAAATTAATGAGCCTCAGTTATTCATGTCCATTGCAACCCGTTAACACACTCGCAAAAAAATGTCAACATAAATTGCAGTTCATTTTAATGTGGCTGGATTTTTTATTTACGGCTCTTTGCAGCAGCAAAGCCAGACAATGTGATCATTTGGCCATTAAATATCAATTCCCCCAGTTTCCTCAGTTAGTGAAAACACAGCAGTTCATCCCTTAATGCATCATATTTAGGGCATTTTCATTATTGTCCATAGGGTATGCCCCCATCCAGCTCTTGAAAAATAAAATTTTCAGATTTTCGAATTGACAAAAATAAAATAAACATGAAGGCTAAACATTCACCTAAGTTTTTCTCAGAGCAGGCTCATTGAAATTAATGAACACGACTAAGAGTCATTAATATACTCCAAGTAAAAATTGGTTGAGTACCACCCTGAGTGTTCATAACAAGGGAAATGATGTCTTCATCTGCAGCTCCCTTAATCAGTCATCTGTCTCCAACCCTTGTCTTTCATTAAAACATTGAGGGGAAAAGCAAAAAAGAACGAAGACTCTTGTAGCACCTTAAAGAAATTTATTGTGGCAGAAGATTTCATGGACTAAGTCCTCTTCATTAGATATATGAAGCACTAAGTTAAGTTATGACATTCTCAGTGTTAAGACTGGTTATTCTACTGCCTGTGACAGAATATTCACCATTAGCTAAACCTCCACAGAGTTAGCAACAACTCTAAACTTCCAAAACATTAGGTGGGCACCAAAGTTCTTAATATATTTATTTGAAAGCATCTATTCTGCTGGGATCGATCTTTTCTACACCAGTAGAGTGGGTTGGATAGCATGAAAATAAATGCAGGAATTCCCACAATGAAATTTGAGATCAACAGTATAACAAGGATTTGCTAGTCTATTTCCACAAATTACTGATTTAAAAAACCTGAAGTCATCTCACATATACCTTGTCATTTATTTTTAAAGACTTGATTCAAACCAACAATATAAATTAATCCCATTATTAAGCTCACATTATTTTCTCGGGGAAATGATGTTGACAGAACATTGTGTGATTTTCCACTTCTGCAACTGGCTTGCAGAACACAATGCGTTCAGTGCCCACGGAACAACATTACTAATTCTGATACATACAGACAGACAAAAGCCAACATGTATTCAGCCTAGATAAAATAATATGAGTACATAACACACATCTTTAGCAATGCGCATCAGTTACAGTTTATTCATTCCAGTTCTGGAGGGTTGAAAATTTTTTGTTGGGCCTCAGTGAAGTGTTTTTGAGTGTCAAGCAGGTTAGATCTGGATAAGGACAGCAAGGGCTTAAAGTTCATCTGAGCTTCTTTGCCATGTTTATTTTAAGGATGAAGCATCCCACTTCTTCACCTCAACTCCCCAGGATTAATTTTAGGATTAAACTTCCCTGTTGTCCTGTGCACCTCTGAAGCATCTTCTTGGGAACGGGTGGCTGGCTAATGGTTGGTACAAACTATCTCCCAACCTTGCCCTGCGACTGTGTCTCTCTTTGTCCTTTAGGCTGAGAAGGCCCAGCACCACAGCAAGGTAATCCAGGCCACACAAAATAACAATAAATGTAATTGCAACTGCACACACACACACACACACACACACACACACACGGTGTCCACTGCATTTACACAAATCTCACTTCCATACACACAGACACCATGAGCATGCCATGCCCTTATACACACTGTGTTAACTGGTCCAGGGAAACCACTTCCATAGAGGGAGATGAACCTTCAGGAAGGATGGGAGATGGAGGGGCAGGCGGTTACGGCTGTTGCTATGGTCACCAAAGAACATTCAGGTAGAAGCCAACAGTCAGGAATGAGTCGGGGAGGACCTGCACTCAGCCTGGGCTCAGTTGGCTGGTGGACATGCAGCACCTCGGGTGGACCTGATACCTAAGAGGTGACTATGAAGGCTCTCGCCAAACCAAGGAGCCACGAGAGAGCTGCTGGGCTGGCCCAAGACCTTTAGCCACCTGAGGCAAACCACAAAATGCCCCCCACCCCCAGGGAAGATGGGCAGAGTGAAGATCTACTTCAGGAACAAGGGAGGGAATCAAATCAACCTTACCCAATGGTTGAACTGGGAATCAAAGGCTGTCACAGGGGAATCGGGCCTGTTCCAAATCATGCCGGGTGAGTGAAGACCCCAGGAGATCCCAGAGGGCACCCTCCCATCATTTCCTCCCCCGGGGTTGGAAGGAGAACAGCAGTGGCCCCTATTCATTGAAAGACCGCTGCGGAGACAGCATGGAGGGGGCTGCCGAGGATGCAACCAGGGCCGGATTTAGGTTTGATGAGCTACTGAAGGCAATGGGGCCCTTTATATGTCCAGCTGTCCTTTGTCAACAAATTGTCACTGTTATTTTTGTGTTGAATATATGCTATATGGTAATTTATGGACCTAATAGGTATCTAAAGCCATTTGCACATAACAAAGTATCTATTTTATCAAAGTACAGTGGTACCTCGGGTTAAGTACTTAATTCGTTCCGGAGGTCCATTCTTAATCTAAAACTGTTCTTAACCTGAAGCACCACTTTAGCTAATGGGGCTTCCTGCTGCCGCTGCGCTGCGCCGCTCGATTTCTGTTCTCATCCTGAAGCAAAGTTCTTAACCTGAGGTAATATTTCTGGGTTAGCGGAGTCTGTAACCTGAAGCGTATGAAACCTGAGGTACCACTGTAATTGTTGAACTGAAATACAATTAAGAAGAATTATATTAATAGTGAATTGGGGGGGGGCAAGAGAGTGGGGCCCTAAGCTATAGCATGTTTAGCTTATATGTAAATCTGGTACTGGATGCAACAGATCCAGCTGCGGTTGGGGCCACAGAAACAGCAGTGCTTGGTGTGTTGCTGGATCCCTCCCCAGTGGATCCTGGCAGTGGATCCCCCCCCCAATGAATCCTCACATTGCCTCATGGGTGGGCCAGCCCTGCTGCTCAGGGAAAGATTCTTGATGGCTTTAATTTGGCCACTTAAGGAAGGAGAGAGAAAGCAGCTCTAATGAACTGCACTTTGGAAGGAAATATTCAGTAAACAGGTCACCCAGAGGAGCCATTTGAAGGGCTTGAGATCAATGGGCTCCACTTACTTTCTCTTTAAAGGCTAGGATGAAGGAGGAAAAATACCCCCATTGTCTCTTCGCATATCTTGCTTCACAGGGTGTGGGTGTGTTCTTGGCCAATCTCAGGGTTATTTCCCCATTACTTCCTTCCAAGGCGATCTAAATTGCTTACCGCACATTTCAAAAGTTTGCCACTCCCAGTCAATCTTTATTTCTCCTTTTTTTTGGGGGGGGGGGCTTTTTATGGAGTGAACTTTGTTATGGGGAAGTTATGCCTATAATAATGCACCCAGCATAACAGAAACGGGGGAAATGTTGTTGCCTTGGTGACTATACGGTGACCTTAAGAAAGAACACAACTGCTGTTTGAATAATAGCCTGGAGAGTAATCTAAATCAAATGATTTGCTGGGCTAAACTTAATGACTTTTCTGTTAGGAAACTACACAATGTGTGATCAAGGATACAAAAGAGTGGCTTTTCTTCTGAACTATCACATTTAGCTATATTCCCTTGGCATTATGGAATTAGTGGAGACAACTTCTGCATCACAGAGAAGATAGTTCAGGCCTTTTCCTCCAGCAATAAATCTGTCTACAGAATAATGGTTTAACTTCTCATGGGAAGACCTTTAAAAGACTCATCCTAAGGAAATTTTATGAGTTTGTGGGGGAGGAAGTAGGCAGCATAAGAGACCTTCTAACCCCTGGATCCAGCAAGTGATAAAATAAAAGCTAGGATAGGCTCCTGTTTTGAGATGATCGCCTGGGTGATGGGCCATTAAATGAAACAAAGGAAAGGGGCTCTGTGCGAGATGTCAAATGGGCTCCTCCCTCAACTCATAGATAGTTAGAGGGACAAAGCAGCGCTGGCCTTTCTCTCTGTTTTGGCTTCTGGACCACTCTTCTTGTGGTTGTTTTGTTAGCTTTCTGCCTTGCCTCTTCCTTGCCCCCACTTACGTGGAGGCATCCTGTAAGTGCATGCAGGATAGCAGTCTGCAAGCCCATTTCCTCAAAAGTAAAGAGCCACTGACCTCAATGGGGCTTACGTCTTTGCAAGTGGCTAGTTGGGCTTGTGAGCTGTTATGGTGACCTCACTGATGCGGGAGCAAGCCCCCTCTGAACCCAGTGACTCTTTACTTCAGAGTAAATGTGCACGGCTTGGAGCCCATGAGGTCTGGCATTTAGCCCCCCGTTCCTCTTTTCCAGGAGGGGCCCGTCCCGTTTCACTGCCTGAGGCAAAACGGGAAGGTGCTGCCCTGCCATTGCTCCTCCACCAAACCCTCACTTACTGGAGTTGCGCTGCAGCAACAGCTTCTGGAAAGATCTCACAAGACCTTGTGGAGCTCCCATGAGATCTTGTCAGAAGTTGCCGCCATGGCTTTTCTGGCGGTAGTGGAAAGGGTAGGTGGATTGTCCACAGGGGTCTTGCTTGCAGGATTCCACCATTTGAGGTGGTTGGCCCAGTCCACCTCATGGGCTGGCCGGCTTGCTCCTTTCTGCAGAACCAGGACAGGTTCAATTCCAACCACTGATAGGAAACAGACCTTGTGCAACAGCCTTTGAGAATGTGGGGGAATGTTGCTAACCCACCTTTCTGGAGCTCCCTGTGGCACCTTGGCCAGAAGATTGTCTGCTGGCAGACAGGCTCCTCCCCGGTCACCTCTTGGCTCCCTCGCACACATGCCTGCGAAGCTCTTCCTCCATTGCCAGCTGTGCAGGAGCTCAAAAGTGCCGGCCCTAACCTGGGCACTGGGGGCAAATCAGTCATCTGGGCAAAATGTCTCAGACGGAAGTAAAGCTGTCACAAGTTCTCTCTTATTACAAGAAGTAGCTGGGTTTTAGAGAAGTAGAAACCTAGTTTTGTAAGCCAGGAGTGTCAAAGGAAGGAGAATTCTGACAGGACTTGTTGCTGTTTCATGTAGAGGAGGTGGGGATTAATAGGACTTTAGCCTATATTTCAACTTAAGTACGAGAAATTGGCTCATACTGGGGCAGGACAGTCCTTGAGATCATGGACTATGCCAGGGAGTAGAAATTTGTGATCTTTCCCATGTTGTTGGAAACCAGTGCCCATTACCCCTGAGCATTGGCCATGCTGGCTGGACTTGATGGGAGTTGGAGTCAAACACCATCTCGAGGTCACCATGTTGTTTTGTTTCTGGGTAATAGAGAAGGTCTGATGGGACCCTTCAGCCTCGAAGGCTGAATTGAACCTCCAGTGACCATTCACTTACCTCTGTGGCAGGATAAACGTATCACATTCTCTTTGGATTGGCAAGTGTTGCTTCTGTCCTGATTCATATCTTCTGGCCCACAGATCTGCCTGAGTTTCAAATGATGGCACCGTGCCTCATCGTGAACAACAACAATTGTCCAGACCCAGCCAAATCCGTTGAAAAATGAAAATGTTCATTCTTCTACTTGTTCTTGTGGCAACTGTGCAAGCCAGGAAGAATATGAGTGGAGAACCACAAGATGGTGTCCGACCAGGTGACAGCATGGTAGCCCTTCCGTGAAGCAGAGTGGGTCACCTGCCTTGCCACAGATACCCTCAAGCTAGCCTGCTTCCTTGGCTATGGCGGATGACGTAGTCTTGTCACGAAAGCTGAAATAGGATTCAACAGCCAGTCCAGTCAACCCAACTCCTGAACATGGACCATCTTGTCTCAGTGAGCCAAATGTCTTCGGCCGACCCCTGTGTCCCCTACATTATAAACCATAGGTGTGATATTTCTACATGCAGGGAAATATTTGGAGAATCTTAATGCAAACGGAGGGAATGCCATTGTGTAGGAGCCAGAAATTCAAATGGTATCACTTGTGAAAGTGGTCTTAAAAGTTACAGGATGAAATGTTTATCAACCTAGCACAGCTCTCCCTGTCAGGACCATGCCAAGTTAGGGCCACGGGCAGCAGCACCCATGGCTGTTCCCCACCCACCGGGGATCGGCTTGCCAAATGAAGTGCCAGCATTTTTAGGTGAGTTCCTCCCACTTATTTTCATTCTGACCCAATCTTGATGCTATGTTTTTTGGAATGTGTAAAGTAGGGTTCTTCTGCCTGATCATATGAACAAACTAATAAGCTGAAAAGATCCAGACTACCAGAGGCCCCAAAAGCACTGTGTTCAAGGAGCTAATTATTGTTTTTAATTTAATTTATTACCCGCCCCTCACCCTAAGGGTTACAGCCATTTAGAATATAACATTAAAAGCAGCTGAAAACAAATTACAATCGCAAAAGTAGGATGGGTCTGACTTTTACAAAATTAAACAACAGGAACACAAGGAAAATGTAAATGCAGCTAACTTTAATTAAAAGTTTAATTACTCTTGGTCCCTTCCAACTTACAATTCTATGATCTGATGAAATGGGCATGATCCGTGAAACATTTGTCATTGTCCCCCCACTTCCACCCATAATATCAAAGGTGATGAGTCCACACAGAAGAGTGAAGACTATACCTTTCAGTGCTCAAGCCCCTAAAAATTCAACCCCTCTAATTTTTGATGAAACATTTAAGAACACAAGAATCTGCTGCATCAGACCAGCGGCCTATCTAGCCTAGCATCCTTCTCTCATAGTGGCCAATGAGATGCTTTTGCTGGTAGGGGACACTTAAGCTGCAAACTAGGGGAGGACAGGTGGCTAGGTGCTTGTCTAGTTGAAGGACAGGGAATGTGTCGCCCTCCAGATGTTG